GGCATAAGAAATATACTTCATAGAAGTTACATTTAGTATCGTAATGAAAATTACCGTGGGCCACTTTCTTGATATTTGAGCTTCAGAATAAGCTGCATTCATTTGGCCAACTATATCTACAGCTCCATTTGTTAAGTTGCAAAATGTTATTATTTTTGGTTTTCGAGTGTCTCCAGAGGATACGTCAATTTTATTTTCATTGTGTATCACTGGCAGAAGTACAACACCCTTATTCCCCCCCCTGGAAGCATGGGAAATGATAGAACTGTTTTTTTCTTTTTTTAGGGAATTTAAAAGTGACAAATGCACAGTTCTTTTCTTAGTAGGCACAAATTCAGGGAGTATTTTTTTTTCTCCCTTATTTTACCAACCAATGTATCCCTTCACCTCAAAAGATCTTGAGACAAATGATATCCTGTGTACCAATTACCCAAAGTTAAATTATGTTTTGAATTAAATAATGATTCTATCAAATTTTTTTAACAGAACTTGAGCTACTGTCAACTTGATAAGGACCATCTAGTTGTTATCCCCGCACAGATTTCCATATTGTAGGTATCTACGAGTGCAAATATTTTTATGGAGGTACTTAGCATGTTTATTTGACAAAACTGTCAGAATGTACACCATCCTCTAAAAGATTCAAGCTGTTAATCAATAGTTACATACTTTCAAAATGTATACACTTTTTGGTTTTAAATACACTTTTCAAAAAAAAAAAAAAAAAAAAAAGGGGGGGGCAGTTAATTTAATAAAAATAGAAACCCTTTGCATGGCATTGTTTCATAAAAGATTTCCATACCAGTTCCATTTGTTGCCTGTAAAACTTTCACATTTACATGAAATGACATGTGTACACCAGATACATATAAGAGTTCTATTAGCACTTTAATTTCGCTACATTTCGGTTTAATTTCGGTTGCGTTTTTTACATCTTGCTTCCGAACAAATTTATCTCAAATTGAATTGATATATACATTTGTGTTATTTACTAATTCATTGATTATATTATAGTCTATCAAAACATTCCTAGCATCAAATGGTGTTTTTACACGATTTGAATAATCATGTAAAAACAGCATTTGATGCTAGGAGTTATATTATATTAAATAATAAGGGATATAAGTTATATTAAATGATAAATGAAAAAATTATTATTAGTATTAAAGGGGCACTTAAGTATTACTTTTTTTTAAAAAAAAAATAGACACACTAACATTAGTTCAAAATTCCTCTTTTGAAAATTTAGTTCCATCTTTTCCGCAACACAATTTATCGGACATATCAGTCAAGCCATTTGTTCTGGATTCTCTTCACCATTTTCTGATGATAATTTATGGCGAATAAATTTTACGTTATCAATAATTTCCTTCTCTTCTTCACTAATTTCTTCAACATATGCAGAAACTGTTTCAAGCAAATGTCGGTTTTTCCATTTCATTTTCATAGCAAGAGAACTTAGCCATGTTGAATAAACTACAGGAGAAAATAGCACTTTCATTGTTAAATGAGAAGGTGCACAGGTATCTTCCATTTGTGGAGGCTGATTTCCATGAAATGACCTCATCAGTTTTAACTGCAACTCAGTCTACTTAAGGCCAGTTCACACCAACGTGATCACGCATTGGCATATAAAGCGGTAACAAATCAGAAATGTGTTTAGAGATGGCATTTTTCAAATGGCCTGAAATGCAGGAGTTGACTCAAATTCAACTTTTTGCTGCTTGCCGTGTCTGTTTTAGATACCTCATTTCAAATTCCAGTTTTTACCACAGTTTTCAAAAGAATATACTTTTAAATTCTTCTTGAGGAAAATTTGAAATCAAATGGAATAATTTTAATTAAAAATTCAGATGCTAATTAAAAATGTATTTAGTTAATGTGGTAATTAAATATATCAATTAAGAGAAAAACCTGAAGTTTGTTAAGAGTAAATAATTATAATTATCAACCATAACTGAGATATAGTTGATAATAATCTACAATGGATTGTTGCCAGCAAATGAAAGATTTTTGAATTTTACTTACAATCTACACCAACTTAAGGTTGTTTTTACAGCCTCCTGTTGCCTAATGGATAAAGCAGTGGCTTCCAGAACCAAAGATCATCGTTTGAAGTCCCACAAAGGATGGTTTTGTAATGGAGTTGGGATTAAAAACAAGTATTTACAGAAAAATTTATGCAGCACAGATACTTATTCAGTTTGCTGAAAATGAAGATTGAAAACAAGTTTTCATTGATGACACCCTAGTGCTAAGAATAAAACTGAACAGTTACCATATACCATAGTTCAAGCCTTCCTTTTTCTCTTCTTTAATGGCTGTGAAATCACTAAATTTTTACCTATTGGAACTTTTTTTTTTTTTTTTTTTTTTTTTTTGGTTGTTGTTCCATAAGGAATTTTTATTTATTTTTCGATGACTGCAAACATGATTTTTGATACCACATGCATTATTCTTCTCACAATGACAAGTTGTAGGCAGAGTTCACAAGATGATCTACTATGTCAAAGCCTTTTCAATTGACACCAGACTAGCAAAAGCAATAGGGTGTAAGGTTGCTTTTTTATCTAATTTTTAAAATTTAGTAAGTTCTTAGTTTTAAACAACTTGTGACAAGTAAATTTAGGAAAACGTTTATTTAAACAGAAAGGAAACTTTTCAGTATGTGGCACTTAAATTAAATATTGAAGTTGATTTCAGGACCAAGTTTGTTTTTCTCTAAATGCACAGCTGTTTTTCACACAAATTTCAATCAGGATGAAGGTTTAATCTTGATAGTAATTTTTTATTAGTTTAAAGAACATCTGCATAAGCATTAGTTAATTTACTAATTGTGAAATTCAATTTTCAAAACAGAAAAATATTATATAAAACGCAGTTATGAGTTTTAGACCAAAGTGATTTATTTACTAATTGTGAAATTCAATTTTCAAAACAGAAAAATATTATATAAAACAGTTATGAGTTTTGGACCAAAGCGATTTATAAAATAAAATTTAAGCAGAGACTCTTTGCTAATATATGAATGACTAATTGAAATAATTACAATTACAGTTACATTTAAGGATAAAAATATGCACATAAGGCAGAAAATATGCTTTTAAAGTTTTTAAAAGTTTTCTCTTCATTATTATTATTATTTAATTTTTTTTAGAGAGATTTCTTCAAGTATGATATTTGGTAAACTTATAAATTCTTCTTATATAATAACAAAATATAACTTTTTATCATATTAATTAAACTAATTTTAATTGAAATTGAAATTGAAAGATGCAAAGAAAAATTTTTAATTATCATACAAGAAAATTCATAAATAAAATTAATTAGATATGTACAAGGTTCTTTTTTCAGATATCCTTTTTCTATCCTCCAAACGATGCTTTTCTTGGAAATTGTGATCAAAATTATTGTTCAGATTGACGATGCCCCATGCAAAAGTAATTAAAAAAATTTTTCACATTGTCCAAGCTCATCTCCCCATTAAAATTACTTGAACCTTCTTCCTGCAGTCGTCTCTTACATAGTAATTTAGCCTATCCTCTTCTGCATCTTTTTTTACGTTAAAGCAAGAAATAAAATAAGTTCCTATGGTAAAATTTGACCCATTTTAATTTTAAAATATAATTGTAGGAAACCAAACACCCTACAAAAATACATGATTTCTCTCAGGCTTATGAAGAGTTATCTAGTGGCCAACTATGAAAACTTTTAAGTAAAAATTTCTACCCTAATGAGAACTTAAGTACATGGAAAGAGTCCCTCCCGCATTTCTGCTTTTCGCGCTAACAGATCTAACGCTTAAAGAAATGTGATCTTCAATTCAGTTACTGAAGGTTTTTCCATTTTCAAAAAAGGGATATAGTCTTTTGAATGTGTGGTAGAGCCACATGTGCCACCCGGTTAAGAGTGAATTTTTATGAATTTTCTTGCTTCACGGTTCATAAGCTGCTGTTTTATTTGTTATAGTTTTAAGTTGATTGTCTTCTATAAGTAAACTTGTGGTGGCTTGTACTTGTTCATCTCATTTTATTCAGTCAGCAGTGATTTTTACCACAGTACCTTTGTAATTAAAACCCATAAATTATCTTTTTTCAAAATCATTTCTAATTTATGTTTCCACAGATTATGGTTATTTTTTAGTTTCATGATGAAGTATGTATTTTATGGCTAGCAGTCATTTTTGCTTTTGTCTTTAAGTGTGCAATATGTAAAGGCACCAGTTTTGATTCACTTTTGCAAATAGCCTTATCCATTTGTCTATTATCTTATTATTACCTATCCATTAGCGGATAACCATTAGTAGTTTATGTCAGAGATTTTCTTCTATTTTATTTCTAATTCTTATGCTAATGTTTTTACGCAATTCGTTAATCTGATAATCAATGTAAATGATGCATGTAGTAAATTTAGATATTATTTTAATACTGTAGTCCTCAATATGTAAAAATAAAAGTAGAGTTAAAATTCTTACTTTTCCGAAGGTAATCCAAAGATGATTAAATAATGATGCATTACATTTATTTTACAATATTTATATAATATAAAATATATTCCAACTAAGTTTTACTTTTGGATCATAGGCTCCACACCTCAAAAAGTTATTTTAATCATGATCATTCTAGGTATAATCAAAATCTCAGGCATATCATTTTAGAAAATGAACTTTTGAGTGCTATAGAAGTATTAAATAGTAAGTAAATAAATAATCTGAATTCTCAGGATACATGAACATGATCATTCTACAGAGAAATGTTACATAACAGTAAAATTATTTTCTGCACAAGAAATATATCTGCTTCCACAGGTACATTACATGCTTTTGTGGAACATTTTATCTACATAACAATATGTATAAAATATGTATACAAGGACAAGAATATATGTTTCAACAGTCAAAGCAACTTTTAAGCAAACATGCATAAAAGAAATAGCTTAAAAAATACAAATTACTTAATATTTTAGGCTGCTTAGTAAATAGAAATAAAATTAATACTAACTTTTAATGGACGATTTTGAAAATATCCTCACAGTGAAAAGTGCTATGGATACAACAACAAGCTGCTCTCTTGGATGGATACTATCAGCATTGTAAGCAGTATCATAAAGCATTTTGAAAACTGGGTTGTTTTCTTCATCTGATTTTATGAAATTCATTAATTCCCTATAAAAAGACACAGAAATCAATACTGCATATTCATTTTAATGATAAATAATGTCATTTTTGTGCCATGATTTAACATCAGGATAACTTATTTCTAGACTTATGTGTGAAATTATGTAACTATATTCATTGTTATCATAACACCCTATTATTGTAATTTACATGTTTAGGTTGCACATAGTCAACAGTGAGCCCTTTGAAAGGTACAGAAAAGATATAGATAGCCTTACTAGATATTTCTACAATAATTTACATTTAGTTTCCTATCTATATAAAACAGATCAAATGCAGATTACTCAGTGAATAAATATTCTCATTAGAAAGTGTAACACTTATAAAAGCTTAATTAACTAATTTTAATGATTTTTGTCAGATTAATTTTTCAACACATTTTATTTATTTCTAAAAAAATTAACTGCTTTAGCTATATAAGTCCTCACATTAATTTATTTATTTAGAGAAGGAAATTAAAAAAAAAAAAAAAAAAAAAAAAAAAAAAAAAAAAAAAAAAAAAAACCATTTTCACAATTTTGATATTGTTGATAAGATAATCTTATCATGTTAATTTGACTTAGCTATCTGATTATTATAGATAACAATCAGACAAATTAAATACATACTTTGTTTATATATATAAATTTTAGAAAGTTTAAAAAAAGATAAATAATGATTAAATTCAAATGGATATTTTTATATGTATGAGAAACACTTGTTAGGTATATCAGTTTAAACTACAAAATAGTAATAACTTCAGATTAATTTTATTGATCATTATTTTCACAGATTTTCACTGTACTAGAATAATTAGTTTACTAGAAAATAATTTTTACTATATTAGTTACACAGCAATTAACTTGAACAAAATATTTTTATTTCTTGTACCTGATGTTTTGCCTAGAAATGTTATGGCCAAACAAAGAGAAGAGAAGAAATGCAATGAGAAACTAATCATGTTTTTAATTTCAATAAATAAGCATTAAATTTGCATTTCTCAACCATGCAGCTTCAATTAATGAACAGCAATGAGATATTATTTTGGACTAAATACTGGTGACTATTCACTGAATTCTAAAAAATTTGAGGATTCTTAAATAAATTCGAATTAGCAAATTTTTTCAGTTTATCATGCACCTAAAAATTATATATATTAATCAACCAAAACATCATGATCATCTTCCTAATACCATGTTACTGCACTCTGGCCAAATAAAACAGCTGCACAATATTGGTGAATACTTACTGAATTTTGAAAATTTTAGATTCTTTAATTTAAATATATTCAGATTACCAATTTTTGAATTAATTGTCCTACATAAAAAAATAATATACATAAATCAACCAAAACATGATCACCTTCCTTAATACCATGTTGCTCCATCTTGGCCAAGCAGCATAACTGCATTCTATCGTGGCATAGATTCTGCAAGTACTCTGTAATAGTCAGATAAGAATGTACCAGATTTGCAATGACAAATGCAATTTCCATAGATTAAAAAGAGACAGTTGGTGAACCATAAGCTGGAACTCCACGATATCACAGATGTGCTGAACAGGATTATTATCTAACAGGCCAAGACATCAACTGCAATTCACTAGCATGTTCCTTAAATAATCTTGCACAATCCTGTCTTGTGCCAAAGAGCATTGTCCTTCTGAAAAAGTCCCACTTCTTGTATAGAAGACATAAGATATGAAAAAGTAACTATCAGCATTGATATTCACATAGTCCATGGTTGTTATGGTGTGTTTTATAACACCATCTGCTCTCAGAGAAGCCCACGAGAGTATCTCCCAAAGAAGTATACCTCTATTACTACCTGCTGATGTCCAATGAAATAAGCATTGATCAGCTCTTCACCTAGAAGATGGCACCCCCTGACAGAGCCCTTGACATGTTGTAAAAGCAATCATGATTCATACGGCAAGGCAACTCTTTTGCATTCTTCAAAGGTCAAAATATTATGTTCATGAGAAAGCTGAACCCTAAATGTCAACCATGCTAGAATAAAAGAGGGTCTCTATAGAGTAGTCCCATACAACAGTATTTCTCAAACCTTTTCAAGAGGAGATCACTTTTATAAATTAAAAGGTTCTGCAGAGCATCTTACTCTTGTCCTACACGAAAACAACTTCTTTAGCATATGTTACTAACAATATGCTTATGTTTTTTTTAATACAATTAATTTGATTTTATATAGGGGTTAAATAATTAAACAAATGAAAGAAAACATATATTTTTTAAATAATTCAAGCCTATTAGATTTTGATAATTATGTTAATTAAAAATTAAATAAATGTAGGTATTAACACTAATGAAATGGATGAACCTGCTGATTCTTGCATAGCTGTTCTATGTTTGGAAAAATGCTGGTAAGATGTGTAACAACCATAGTGCTTTAAATTCCTCTCTTGTTGCTAAAACTTAGAGTGGGCAAGTCCCTAGATATGATAATGAGTAATAAATTGAATAAAATATCAATCTTGAGGAACACGTGATTAATGATTATCATATGTAATTTTCAAACTTTCAGATTTTCAGATATATTGAAAATTTTCGACTAGCAAGTGAATTACAATAGATTTGAACTAAATTTTTCGTCTTTTTATGGCATCTAAGATGGCCACTTCTGGTCCATGGACTAGAGATTGAGAAATGCAGCCATATGCTATAAAGTCTGATGAATTTGAAAGTTACATTTGTACTTGTATTCAGCTGTCAGGTGAGTCACAAGAAATCACCTAGTTACCTTCACCTAATGGAGCAGTCTCCAGCATTCATATTCATTAATCAAGCAAGCATATCGTTCATCTACAATCAGTTTCACTATCTTTCTTTTACTTTTCAAGAGCATTAATAACTGCAATCATGAAAACCCAATGAAAAATGTGATGTCAAATATATTCATTGTTAGATTTCAGACCGTCACAATCTGACCTTCATCAAAATTGCTTCAATCAGCAGCCTAGCCAGCTACATACATGTCCAGAGAATGAAGCCACATGTATCCCTGACAACCATTAAATAATATTTCACATTATCATGTGCCATCTATATCATTCACACAAATTCATTCTTGCAGAGCCATATAAGGGGGGTGTTAATTTTTTGGTGATCAGAATATGTGGATAATATATCCACATAGAACATTAAAACCATTTTCTGGATCAGAAATACAATGTCACAACTATAACAAGAAACACAGTTATCATTAAAGATTGCATTTGCAGGGCAGCAGCAGCAGTATTCAGGTAGGCGTGAGCTAAGAGTTTATTCCAGAGCAGCATTTCTCAAACTTCTTTGGTTTACTGCTCACGTTTAGAATTCACTGAATGCTCCATGACAACCCCCCTTTGGGAATCCACACGCATATTTTTCAGAAAAATATGTTAGAAAATAAAAGGGTAATAATGAGGTTATTTTGTTTACAGATTAAATAACATTAACAGCAAATACTCACAGGCTTAGTTATATAAAGAATAGGAATACAAACTGAACTTCATAATAAAATAAGTTTAAAGAGGAAGCTGGGCCTGATAAGCTTCTACCAATTTGTCACTATTCAGCTCCATTTTGTTAATAATATTCTAAAATCTCCGCAATCAATTATCTGTAACTGATATTTTTTGTTATTAGAGTAGTTACTGCAATGAACCCATGTTTAACTATGTAAGATGAAAGGAATGTTTAGAGAAATTTTTGTACAATACTTTATAAACTACGGAAAAGTTCAGGTATTTTCTTCTGCAACCAAAAATGTTGGTATCCATATCCAAATTTAAATTTCTCCTTTTCATTTGTTCAATAAATTCTTCATCTAAGTTTTGAGTTGCTCCTGACATTACATAAAAATATGGGTTCAAATCCAATCAGGTGTATCTATTTTCAAAAAATTCTTCAAACGGTATTTTGAAATCCAGGTACAGAGTTTCCAAATGTTAGCAATATTCAAGTACATTTATTTTCTACAGTTGACAAATTTGGAAAGTGGCTAAATTCTCCTCATCCGAAGTTCCATTTTATGCATTTGAAACTTCATCATAAATGTAGAAATAACATTTTTGATTGTTATTAGATTCTGGTCATAAACCTCAAGCTGAAGGTCCAGTTCACAGATTCATTAAACAAACCTGTCAGATAAGTTATATATCTTTTATAATTTATCAAATCTGCTCTTAAAGTAGCTTAATTTTTCAACTTTGTTTTCCAAAAACACAAGCTGAGAAATTTAGAAAAACGGTTCAAATAAGTTCCAATGAACTTCTACAAAAAGAAACAGAAAACTGAAACTTCATTATTTTCAACACATGGTTCACATGCTCAGCGAAGAGACATAAACTGGTTTATAAATGTGGAAAATAAAATTTAGATTATATAACTTTTCAAACTTAACTATGGCTAAACATTGATCTCTGACATCACCAAGGTGGACAGTATTACCTTTGTGACTTGAAATATCACTTAGTTTGATATACCTGTATATTAACTGCAACATAGTGAGTATTCTAGCACCATCAGTTTTGGAGAAACTTCTGGCACAGCATCTTGTTATAAAAATTTGGATTTTGTCAAAATGACATCAATCCTTTGTTTTTCCTTAGTCCAGGCATAATGAATTACTGGCCAATAGAGATCTGACTTGAGTACTATATGCATCATTTGCGACCATATCATCATATATTGCTATTCATCAATTACAAGCATATAAATATGCATAATGTGGAAGTAGTTTAGATTAATTTTTCTGTACTGTTCTTCTAATAAATAATATAATTTTTTTTTAATTTATCGACAGAAGTGGTTTGTTTATAATTCATTACAATTAAGAAATCACACACATTTAAAAATTTAGTGAGATGTACAAAACAGTACATTAGACAAAAAAAGTAAATGAAACAGTGACTGAAGTTGCAAAAAATACATGTACACTATGAGAAAAAAAATAAAAATAAATAAAATAAAATAAAAAATAAATAAATAAATATTTCTTTTGTTTTACTGGGCCGATTGACGAAATTCAAACTGTCTCGAAAGCGCGAATGAAATATATATCAGATTTTAAAACAGGTACTTTGAAACAAAATCAAACTTTTTCTGAAATAACATACCAATTTTTTTCCATATTTAGATTCTACGTCTCAAACTATGCAGCATAGATATTAAATTTTGTAAACTTTGGTGCAAAATTTACTGAGAAATTAAAAAATTTATCATTGTGAAATTTTTTCAGTTTTTGCCAAAAATAATTCACTTGGCGAACATCTTAATACATGGCAATCAATTTTCCTTTCCCTGTTATGCGGGAGCGGAAAACAATGCACATCATTCCTACCTTTTTACATTGTGCATGAGTGGAAAAAAATTCACATCGCTTTTACTTCCAAATATTTTTAGCAAAGTGTTTAAACCACATTTGATATTTTACTGCTTTCAACAAATATGACAAATTTCAAAATGCACCAATATATAAATTCACGTATATCTTCGGAAATTCTGAATAAAAAATTGTCATTTTTTGCAGGTATTCTTAGAAATACGTCTACTTTAAGATGATGCCAAAAATTTTACAGATTTTATATCAAAATTTTTTATAAAAATTATTTAAAAATACAAATTTTAAAAATAAATCATAAAAAATGGGTGAATTTTATTTGGAATGAACCTGAATTTCAAAATGTGAAAGGAAGAATCAAATAAGCTTAATAAAATAAGAGAGATTAATAAATATATACGAAACTCAATTAACACTGAGGAGCTAAAATTTTTAGAGCTAATTTTTTAAAACCTACTCATGCGATTTTTACGAAACTTGGTAGTTTGGAGTAATTTGAGTCATAGAATTGAAACATAGAAAAAAATTGGTATGTTATTTCAGAAAAAGTCCAATTTTTGTGACAAAGTACCTATATTAGAACAATGCTATATATAAATCTAATACATATCCTAAGTCGTGCTTTCGAGACATGAAGAATGCAAGTTGAATTTCATCAATCGGCCCAGTAGAACGGGAGATACAGAACTGCCCTTCCCCCCTACAGTGTACATATATATATAAAAGAAAATTGTGTGTGTTGGGGAGGGAGAGAAAATACATTCAGAGCACAGTGTCAAAGATCAGTGTTTAGTCATAGTTATATCTCCATCATTATTCAAAAATTAATTTCATACTGAATTTTAAAACATGAAATATTTTAATTCTCATAAAAAACACAGTATCTTTTATTACAAATGCATGAATCTCAAGTACATTGGAGGCAAACGAATTGTAATTTGAATATGTATCCTAGAAAATGCAGAACTCTCAGAAGCAGTGGATGTTTAATGCATAACAAAAGAATGATTACAAGTACCACAAAAAAAAAAAAAAAAAAAAAAAAAAAAAAAAAAAAAAAAAAAAATACCTTTGCCAGTGCTGTGACAACATCAAAAAAAGTTCTGAAAGCAGAATGAGAATACGTGAAGAACTGTTTCTCTCCCTCTGGTCCTCTTCTGAACTGCTCCTCTTCAGAATAAACATAAAGTGCAATGCATACATAAATGAACATAATGTATTTAAAATTTTATTTTCAAAATTATACTATTGTTTTTAAACTTGCTCATGAATATAAGAAAGAATAAATGTATCTCTTAATAAATCACTCTGAAGCTAATAGTAAACAATGCATATTTTAAAGTCACAGAAATGAAAAGGCGAGGACATAAAACAATAATGAAACATAGAAAAGAAATAATTTATTATCCAATATAAAATTTTAATAGCAATTAGATATTGCACTGCTTAAACAATGAAATTTTGCCTTCTAATGAATTGTTGAAAAAATAATTTAAACCAATCGGTATAGTAGTATAAAAGAATAGCTATATAAAAGTGACTTGATTAACATGAACTACAAATAGTTTGACAGCAAAGTGCATCTAATAATAAAAATATGTTGCAAAAGTAATACTTTTTTTTAATAATATGAGTTTAAGGAGAAAACAATGCCCGTAAGTTTATAAACGCTTAACACTTAAATTTGCAAACACTTAAGTTTATTGTTTATATTTAAATCAAGCTATTAGAAAATATTTTTTTTTTTCCAAAAGTGAAATAGTTTTTCTCAACAGGAATTATTCTCTTTTAACTAATAAACTTAAATAAAAGTTGCAAGTAACATATCTTGTTTTCTCTGTAATTATACTGAGAAAATTATTGATTTAGTCAATTCTGCATCACAAAAATATATACTAATCCAAAATCACTGTAATTTTTGCACTTTTTTGAATAACAAACTTGTTGCTAGGAGACACGTAAATGATTATTCTATATTAAGACATGTACGATACAGCCGTTAGAAATATCAGAAACACCTTTTATTAAATATAATAATGGCACAAATCAAATAAATTGTAATAAAATTGCAAAAAAAATTTATAGAAATGAGCAAATGCATAAAATAATAAATCATATAAATCAGAAACGTTATAAATTTATTGCAGCAAACCATATTATTAAAAAAATTAATATAAATTAATATTATTAAAAAAATTAATATAAATCATTAAGAAATACAACTTTTAAAAAAATCAGTTTTTAAAGAAACTACCACTGCTTCATGGAATGGCAATAAAGTTGCCAATTATGAATTCACAGGGATATAAAATGCCTTGAGACTATAATGTGATGCAGAAAAAGAAAAGTACTTCCAAGCACCATCAAAAACTCCTAAAAGCTGTTGTTGGTGTGGATTAACGAGAAGTAGTTAAGGTCGGTATCGGAAGCTATCATAAAGGTAAACTATGGTTATATTATTTACCAGTGTTATTTACTCGAAAAATTAATTTTTATGTTGACATTTTTGGGGGTGCGAAACGGATTAACTGGATTTTCATTATTTTCAAGGGGAAAGTTTATTTCTAGATACGAGGAATTTGCTATACAAGTTCAATGCTGAAATGAATTAAACTCGTAGCTCGAGGTTCCACTGTAGTTCCTAATTAATATCCAGACTGCAGTCTAAATGTATTCTAATTCTTACATGCAAGTGGTACAAAAATACATATTTTTAAAAATATTTTAATACCTACACTTTGTATTATAAAAATAATAATTTAAAACAAATTTTGTTCAACAGTGAACAATAATGGCACATTTTACTTTAAGAGAGAAAAATTACTGCTTTGTCCATACCAACGCCACATAAGCCTAGTTTTGCTTAAAAGTTAATATGTTATCACTGATTTTGGATCTTCTAAGTTCAACCCTTGTTTTAGTAACAATAGTGAAAATCCCCTCCAAATATACACTGTTAGGGGCAATTATCAGGATAGAAAACATTATTTTACACGGTTCATTACATGTTAAAATTTTTATAACCATCCTTTAGTTTTCCAGTTGAACTCCACTTTGTCGAACCTTGGTGGTTTTAAAATCTTAGTTAAGGTTTTAACCTTTTCCATATGGGTGCGTTGTATAGGCTACGGTAGCATTCGGTTTATCTATGGCATGTCTGACATCTGCGTCTCAGAGGATTAGTGCCTGGCTAGACCGCTGTGACGTATATGTGACAATCACATGGAATGAAATATAAATACTATTTTTAATTCTAACAGATGACACCCTATATCCATGGTACCAAGATAAATAGTAATTATGATGTCTGAACTTTGATCTTTGACTGTTTCATTTGATTCTGAAAGGTAGATACCAGGATTCAGTAATATAAACAAGTGTGCTGAGTCAACGCACATGCACTTTTGTTTATGTTTCTTTCAAGTGGCGTTTTGAGAGAAGAGTATCTGGTGTAAGTACAGTTTTTATTTAGTTTCTTATTTTCGTAAGTGGTGTAGTGTGGTCTTTCGTTTGTGTGAATAAGTTTTTCATGTTCCCGCCCCCCCCATTAATGGTGGTCAAAACGAAAGCGATATTTATAATTCCATTTCGCCTTTTAGAAAGGCATTTTCCATTTCTATTTCTTAATGAGAATAAAGAGAAAATGACAAGAAAATGCATTGTTTGCTCCCAAGCTACGAATCGGAAGCGAGCTGCGGGAAAAACATCTCACTTTGAGTGCAAAGTTTGTAATGTAGGACGCTGCGTGGACCCATGCTTCAGAATATATCACACAGAAAACAAATTTTAAATTTTATTGTATATATATATGTATGCGTGTATGTGCCTTACATTAAATATTTCAACTGCTGTTTAGCAAATGCTGAATATTTGTTTTAAAATTCCTCTTTGATTGTCTATATATATATCAGTATAGCTGTAAAACTTATAAGTATTTAATTCTGTAGTTCACCAGGCATAAATACGCTTTTTGAAATATTTGAAAAAATTAAGCAAATTTGAATAAAAATGTATTTTTTCTGAATTTCTTAGCAAAATTAGGCTTAGCAATCGAGCACCCACTGTCCTGTGGAGACATCACGGAAGCCCAGCACTCCCTCTCATAGCCAGAGGCTAGGATATCACACTGCCATCCGGGAAGGGTTAATGGTAAACTGCAAAACTATGACTTCCTTTTATCAGTTACAAATTTTGAAATTTTAATATTTGCAGTAAAGTAAAAGTCAAGATTTTTTTTCCAAATAGTAGCAAAAACATAAACAAATTTAACATGTAAAATTACTTAATTATCAAATGGAAATTTAAATACTGTGTAATGACATTTTTGAGAAAACTAGAACACTCAAAAAATATAATCCTCTCTGCACCCCCCCCCCTAAAAAATAGCAGCTATAAATAATTTTCTGTTTTCACATATACCAGTTTTTGCTTATATTTTCTTTTTGGTATGTAGAAGTTTTTATTGATTTTAATAGAATAAATCTGTTATGTAATAACTTACTTCTACCATAAAATGTTCCAAAATATCTTTCAAAATTTTCTTCTTAGTATCAGAAGGAATTTCTAAAGGTTCATACTGAAAATAAAAAGAAAATTATGCAATAAATTGCAGACGTTTTAAGGGCAGTACAGTACAAAGTCTTTAATCCTGACGTCCATAAACTGAACCTCAAAGCTACAAACTTTCTGCGCATACGTAAACGCATAATACGCATGCGCATAATACATTTACACATATGCGTTTAATGTATAACGGACGGTACAAGCTTGGCTAAAATGATCTAATTATCCATTTCAGTTAATGTTGCAGATTGTGTTGTTCCTTAATCTTCTAATTGGATCCGGCTTATTATTTTTTTGCAGACTGTTAGAGCAATTTTATAAAAGTAAGCTTGAACTTTCGATTATGTCAAAAAGAGTTTCCGATTCTGGAGCTGTCAAAGGATCTACAAAGGGAAAGCATGTTTCGATGTCCATCAAACAAAAAGTGTAATTCCTGCAAAAAATGGATAAAGGCATGAAGGAAGTGATAGAGAGGTTAGTGAAAATGAAAAAATTTCGATTGACAAGCGAGTCGGTATTCTCGGCACAGCAATTACAGGACTTGAATAATGGAACATTGTAACTGAACAAGAAATTATGTCTGTTTATAGAATTAAAGAGAAAGCATTAGCACATCAAACAAAGTAACTTAAACAACTTACATTGAAAGAAATGTTTAATAAAGTAAACAAATAAATATTAAGCTTTTTTTTTTGTAAATTTTGATACCCTTTAGACCATAATTGCTCTTTATTTCATAAATTACGGTTTCATATTTTTAATTTTATAATTTCTGCATGCCATCTTACCAGATTTAAATTGATGACCTACAATCTGGAAAACCCCTAATCCGGAATCGCCGAAGTTCCGGCTAGTCTGGATTTAGGACTTTGTACTGTATAAATAAAAATTAAACTTTATATTTATTGAATTTTATTCTTAAAAAGTAAAACAATGTCAACAAAAATCCATGTATTCTAACCTTTACATGCCTTTATATAACACTTTTTCTTTTTTTTCCATGGACAGCAGTACAGATGGATTGATTTATTATATAATATTTGTTCAAAGAGCACAGTTTGAAAGGACTATAGTAGACATATGTTGGCTTCACAAATAGCATATTATTTTTCAAGACATAATGCACATTCATTAAGCACTGGTTTGCCATTTTCTTCTCTAGCGAGTGAAAAAATTTAGACATATATCCAATTAGGAATTTCAGATGTATTAACTGCAACAAAAGTGATAACATATTTTTGTGAAAATGGGAATGTTTTAGAAAAATGTGTAGTAAATGTACAATATTTATTAAGAAAAAAGTATACTGAACTTCTGATTACCTACGCACTGTCCCTCAAAGAGGATTCTAGACAAACTGGTAAATTACAAACAGGATTTTTATTTGTCTTATTAATTAGAGTAACAAACAAAAACCAAACTTGCCTATCAGTTCATTATTACAATGAGTATTTTTATCACATAAATATGCTTATTTTGAAACTGTTGAATAATTCTGAAATGCAATTGTAAGAAATACTAGTGCAAAAGTCGCGCATGAATTACAATGCTTTATTTTGTTTTTCCTCCCAGAACTGTGATCCTCAGTACTTTCACATTTGGGAGATATACCACAGAGAGATTGAATTCTAAACAGCCCACAGAATTGATAGAACTTTACTTTGAAAATAAAAGATCCGTCATCCTTACTCAAACGGCATATCATCAGCACTTCAAAATGCACAACTGTCTTCATCAGACTTTGATTCTCTGTCTTGTGGCATGCTTTCAGCAACATTCTTCAGTCTGCAATCACTAAAGAATGGGTAGAAGACGTTCGGTTCAATCTCTCAAAAACATTCAACGAGTAAAGGACATCATTAATTACAACCCTGATTGCACCGATGCCAGCCAAATGGCTGAACGGAAAGGACAGAAAATTCGGCACCAGGCTCAATGTGTTAATGATGGATTTTAATTGTTCCTGTGCAAAGTGCAGCTGGTGCACAGAAGTAAGTTCTACAGATACACAAGCCCATCTAAGGTACGCATTTTACACCAAAGACTTAACGATAGAGCAACAGAACTTTCCTGAGAATCTGATAATCAATGACAAAGCTCATTTCCACTTAAATGCAGATGTGAACAAGCAAAACTACCAAATAGGGGCACAGAAAAACTCTAAGGTCATCTGTCAGCAGTAGCAGTATCACAATATGATCAGAGACTTTCTTAGACCAGCTATGGCAAATGAGCAATTTGAAATCATTGAAATATCCTGGTTTGAGCAAGATAGAGGCATTGCTCATACAGCACATGAAACCAAAGGTCTGCAAATTTTGGCAAGTGAGTGATATCCAAGTTCATTGATTTCAATTGGCCATCACGTCCCCCAGACTTAACAGCCACAGTTGTTTTAATCATACGTCAACAAACCAGTAACCACCAAGCAGATCAAAAACAATATATGGGCCAAGATTTGTGAATTACAACCAGCAAGCAATCCGCCACAAAGTTATGTGATGAGGTGCTCTTTGTAATACTGTGAATAGCGGTCATTTAAAAGATATAATTTTTCACACCTAGTATTTTGGCATTTCTTCATAGCTGAGACAGGAATAATTACATACATTTCAAAAAAAAAAAAAAAATTCAAACCCATGTGCAATGACTGCACCACACTGTACTTGCTCATTTTTTAAAAATTTGTTTATAGACTACGGCTCATGAATATACATAAATGACAGCATAAGAAAATTTTTTCTGATAAATCTGTACAGCCATAGATCAAGACAATGGATCTTAATGAACATAGGCATCAATAGACTTGAAACAGTTAACATGCTAAGAATATAATATTTCAAAAGATGATACACAAATTTTGCATCATAGTAGATGAACTCTCTCCCCCTTTTTTTTAAAGAATATTATTTTGCATGCAAATATGGAATAAAATCCAAAGTTTTTTCAAAAAATATAATTAAAGTTCAACGTAGTCTCTAATAACTGAACAGATGTGCTATCTGAAATCAGTTTCTTGTTATGAGTGACTAAATATACCTGGAGTAACTTCAGCAAAAGTAAATGGAGCAGCTTATAAACTAGCTTTTACAGCATTTTACTGATTGACATTTCTTCACTATTTCCATTTCAACACAAAACAATGAATTCTCATGTATCATATTTTTTAGAGATAAATGCTTCATATTAATAAGTTGTATCAAAATGCATTTTGGGAAATCCTTTTACAAACTATGCATCTAGTTTTTATATATAGATATATGATACAGAAGAAATGTACTGTTGATTGGGAAATGAAATATTTAATACCTTATAATACATCATGGAATTTCATATTTTAAATGCCTAAATATAATATTCAAATATATAAACATTGATGTATGAAAAATAAGATTGATATTTTTTCATAAATTTATACATAACATTTTTATAGTAGTTTAATGTATGTATAAAAATTTTGTTTATTATAAAAACTTTGCAATATAGTTGAACAACTTTATTAAGTACTAATTCAGAAGTCAAACAACAAAAATCAGCGTTATATTCACAAAATTTTGTGAATATAATGCTGATTTTTGTTGTTTGACTTCTGAATTAGTATTTATTCGGCGTGTTATTGTGTCTTAACTTTATTAAGTCTTGATTTAATTTCAGAAATAAATAAATAAAATTAAAAAATAAAAAATATTTTTGTACACTAGTTACTTCTTTCATTAATAATAACATAAATATCATTATTGATAAACAGATATATATAGTCCAAAAAATTGGGGAAAATATGGAAGCTGTTTCCCTGCAACATAAAAAGCTTAAAACTTTTAAAACAAAAATAGTAAATAAATTAATACCACTGCTACAATCAAAAGAAAATCCCTCCAAGCTGTTATAAGAGCAAAGGCATCTTGAAGATCACCAGAAGCAAAATCAAATATCTGCTGAGTACAATCAGGACTAGTACTTGATAAATTAGAACTATGAATATGCTGAAATTAAAAAAAGGAAATTGCTTGAGACATCACAAAATTTTTACTGACACAAGAAGTGAAAAACTACAAATAAAAAAACAGAGGCTTACTTCAGACCACTTGAGCAAAAAATTCTCACTGTGAATTTTTTTAAATATAGCTTTGACATGTTCATTTAGTCTCTCCCTAGAAAGCAATACAAACTGCATGCATTAAAAGAGCAGTTATATTTTTATCATGAAACTAAAGCACAGAATTTGCAGTAATAACATAAAATTCATGTATGATGAGAATTTCCTGTTTTAGAATGAAAATATAAAAATAATATATATAAATATGGTATGCTTGGAAAATCACAGTACAATTGTTTTCTTACTTTACAGGAGTACTGTAAAATACTTCAAGTCCTAAAGTTCTAATAATATAAGCAAGGACAGCTGGACGCTTCTTGAGCAAACTTATTACTAAGAATGGTACTGCAAGTCAAATCCCAAAATTGAGGACTAAAAGAAAGAAGGAGGAAAAAAAAAAATAATAAATAAAATATCTACAGTATAAAATAAAATTTTTGAAAAAATTCTACTACTTTTAAAAGCTATGGATTACTGAAATATGAAATAAAGAAATTTATTACAAACATTTTTATTCATAAAATTCTCCATATTTTCTTAACAGTGAATATTTTCAAACATTCAGAACTATATGAATAAATAGCTAAGAAAGAAATTTATTTATATATTTTACAAATTTAAGACCACTTTCTGCTATACTAGTCTAAATTCACAAAATGACCTTACAAGGTATTTTTCATAAAAAGAAAGTTTATGATAATTTAATATTGATAATATTTTGTTACAAACTTCAACTTTTATGATTTTGCTTCATATTTTAGTAATTACACTGCCTGACATAGAAAATGGTACATTATGAAGAAACAAGTGCATTGTTATGAAATGACTGCATCTACCAGTCAGTCAGATGGTTACACACAATATATAAGCATCCAAACAACAAACAAACAGCCATCAGTTTCAGTATCATTACAGCTATAATATTGAATTTTTTCTGTTGTTTCCACGTCTGATTAAAGACAGATTTATGCCTTTAAGATACTGTCATACTCAATATCAGCAAAAGGATGAGTTTTGAGTTTGGTCATTACACCGTATTATAAAAGGAAATGCAAGTTATGTCCCAACTGATGATGGGATTTGGGAACAACTGAGCTGGAAAGGGGGCACTATCACCAAATCCATTATCATTAAGCAACAACATTGAGCAAGGAGATGACTAATTACCATGATAGCATAATGCCAATTCGACTCACAGTTCACAATTAGAGACATTTTGCAAAGCGTACAGAATATTTCCACTATCCTAATACCAACAGACAGTTTTGTGACATGGATGAAGTAGGTTTGCTACAGCTATCCTTGACGCAGGCTTTCATCATAGTCAGAGCTGCCTGGAATGCTAAATAAGACAGTAGACAATTCTCACAAGCAACAATCTTCAGTGATAATTATCACAAAAGATGATCAGAGTATGTGGGTGTGAAGAATATGTGGCCACCAGGCTATACCCAGATGCCAGTACCATCTTCAAGAGACGCACAGCTCATAAATATAAATTAAAGGTTTGGGACACCATTAGCATCAACAATCGTCTCTAGTATATGTTATAGCTTTTGCCAATATATAAATGACATGGTATAGCCCCATCTTTTCCGGTATCATCAAGGCATACCAAACACATATTTTAACAATATAACACAAGGGCACACATTGCTTGGCTCACAGTGAATTCTATGCAAGATACGGAAGTGCTACTTCGGCCAGACCAGTTTCTGCATTTCTCACTAATCAAGTATATACGGGACATGTTTGAGCACTGAACATCTTCCCATCTCCATGAAATGCAGATAACTGTGAAGTCATATTAACAACACACAGTGCATGATACTACAGGCCCGATTTGGACACTCATTGTTTTGATATAACTACGTGTTCAAGAATGTATTCTCAAAATAATGTGGCAGAATCTTCTTGATGTCCTATATATCTATGGGACTTATCATAATATATTTTTGGAAATTAAATCATTTGTTAAGTGTTTCATAATCAATTTACATACAACGTTTGGTCTATTTCAATCAGTCTTTCATGTTGTAGCCTTTCCTCTGCCAGGTAGCATATTACAAACATTTTCATTATCATTATAATACCGAAATTAGCATGTTGACAAATAGTTATAGGATGGCCTAAAAATGATTTATCTCCTGCTAAAGTTATCTTTATAATGAAATTTCTTCTCTCAAATATGACAATTCTTCCTTGGAATTATACAACACATTTTATGTATACATTAATAATTCTTGTAATATTTCTAAACATTTTTATTTATATTACTTTGAAATTAGAATAATAATTCTATTATGGGGTCTAAGTGTTCATATAAAAAGAAGAATTAAATGTTTCTTCATTTAAAACAAAAAATAGAAATTAGTAAGCATAGTGAATAATGCTTGTCAGGCATCGGCACAGGTTCAAAGCTAAACTTGGCTAACTGTTTGATAAACCAGACATGGTTTATCAAACAGTTAGCCAAGTTATGAATATTAAGAAAAACACAGTGAAAAAGTTAAATGAGCTATTTTAACAAACACCTGAATGACAAGAAAGCAGAACATGATTACACCTTTAAATAATAAAATATTTAAAAATTAAAATATGCATATTATTTTCTGAAAATTAATGAGGAAAAAGATATATAATATAAAGATAAAAAAGATATTTAATAGATTAGGTAAACATATTTTTTTGAATGCTGGAAAAACTAAAATGTTACATCTCATCTTATTGCAATTGCATAGAACCACAATTTAAGGTCTATACTCAATAATTTCTGATTATCCACATCCCGTTGAAAAGTATTGAGGCAAGATGTTACTAAAATAATGTAATCAAAATTTATTTATTGTGTAACCATGATACAACTAAAATGTATTTATTGTGGCAATCCAGGTATGTGCATACAGTGAACGAGTGTAATTTATTAGTGTTTGTTCTTGTTACATTGACAGCACTCATTTGTGTTTGTTTTTGTCTCACTAAACTAAGTGTTCCCCCCCCTCCTTGTAAAGAATCATAACGAAACTGTGGAATGCGCCAGCTGATGAAAAAGAAAAGTGTTACATTTCTTGAGAACTGTGGCTTTTTGTCCCAGCAGAGAACGCAAAAAGTTACATTCTACGAAACTGTACTTTGTACACAATCATATTTTATTGATCAAAATTTGTGCAATTATCTGATGTTATTTAAATGAAAACAGATTACTCTGTTACATAGGAAAATATCAGTACATGCAATGCCAAATTTGTACAATTCTGTGATGTTTTTTTACAGTGAAAAACTGTGCACATGGGTGAAAGTGAAATAAAAAAGGTAAGTGTTTTGTTACGGATGTTTCTTTAATTTTGTTAGCTGGGGCTGTTTTATGTAATTCTTACTGTGATGCCATTTTTGAAAATTGCTGTTGTCTTTACATATTAGCTTGGTGAAAAATTAATCATCTACATGAGTTAGCGATTGGGAGTTGTGAATAAACAGAAAGTACCCTCCTTTCTACAAAAAACATATGTAAGTATTATGTTAAAGAATCAGAAAATATTTCTTTTGCTTTAAATTTCTTCTGAGAAAACATAGTGGCAATATACTATAGAATGCATACTCTTGTTTCAATGCTTCAATTGCTAATGCTTGATGACCAGCCCACAATGCATGAATAAATTCAACTGATGCACAAAGCAGATCTTGGGGATATGAATCAGTTGACTGAAAGAAATATATATATTTTGATTAAAAGAAACAGTGTATAATCAAAAAACATAAAAATTATATTGTTCATAAAATTTACATTATTTTTTCTTGTAGTTTTTAATAAATTAAACTTCTAAATTAATATTTAATTCTCAAATTTTTCATTTAGGTTCTATTTGCAATAACAATGGCTGAGCTTTCCATAATGCTTAATTTATAGTAAATGAAAGGATCCTAAATAGCAAAATATACTGATCTTGATGCCAAAGTTGGGAATGAGTAAAAAATTGGGGGAAAGCATTATAGAAAACTGGCTTAATAGCTGTCTATTTTTAAATGAATTTGTTTTATATGATTATTAATTTTTAAAAAGTTATTTAACATGTTTCAAACACACTAATTTTACAGAATTTCCTCTGAATTTCAGTAATTATTATTCTTTAAACAGGCATGGTATTATTGCATTTAGTACTCAAAAGCTCTGAGCAGCATGGGTTTTTAGATTTGTTATGAAGTTCTGCATTTAAACAGCCTATATTAGCTAAATTTGTATATTTACTTATTTTAGTCTCTATTTTCATAAACTTACCTTCATTTAAGATGACACTTATATTATTAAAGAAAGTAAGAAAACAAAATATCTTTTATAAGCTAACATATACCAAGCACCCCCCCCCAAAAAAAACACTTATGACTGGATAAAACTGGTCATGGCACTCAAAGGGCCTTTGTTTTATTACAGTACAAAGTCCAAGATCTGGACTCGTCAGGATCTCAGTGATTTCAGGGCTGGGATTTTTCAAATTGAATCTAGTGAGATGACATATCGTAATTATAAAATTAAAATACAAAGCAGTAGTTTATGAAATAATGAAGCCTTTATGATCTTGAGGGAACCAAAATATTCAAAAAAAAAAAAAAAGTTCAGTATTTGTTGCTTTATAAAACATTTCTTCCAATGAAGGTTGGCTCAATTGCTTTATTTTTTGTGCAAATACCTTCTCTTTACGTCTATAGATAGACATAATTTCTTGTTCGGTTAGAAAGTTCCATTTTTCTAGTCCTGTAACTGCCATATCAAGAACTGTCACTAAAGTATGAATTAAAATATTTTCATACTATTGGCGGCTACCAACACACTTTGCCACTAAATTTTGTTGTTCTGCAAATGCTCAAGTCTTATCTGAATCCTGAAAAGTTAATTCCCAAATATATTTTGAGATTGATCCAGAGCTGGCATCAGATATTTTCCAGCCAGATGCAGTCTCTGCGTGTCATAAATTTTGCTGCAAAGAAATCCCCAAAATTCTTAAAATTTTGCTGCGCTAAATACTAAAGATTTTGCCCTCCCTTAATTTTGTTTCTTGGTGCTCAGTCTAAAAATTTTGCCGCCCTAAATACTAAAGAGTTTGCCCTCCCTTAATTTTGTTTTTTGGTGCTCAAGTCTAAAAATTTTGCCTCCACTACATTCTGTTGGTGGTGTGGCCACACCAGCTTTGGCACTGTTCTCGGGTTATTTGAATAACAAATCAGTTGTTCTCAATTCAAAAGCACTACACGTAATCTTTTCGTCTACAAGTATCATTTAATTAATTAATTAATTATTTTTTTTACCATAAGAAAAAAAACATTCTGTTAAATTTCTTTTCATCAACATGCTTAACCTTTTACAGTGCAGTTAGGTGAAGTACGTAATCTTCACCAAACGTAATATCAACATAAAAGGTCACCATGGTCTTTAGTACAAGAGGTGATCAAATGAAAAGGTGTGAAACGACACGGTGGGTACAAATGTAGACTTTATTCAAAATATACACCATAGGCTTGAGCACAGCGATCCCGCTGATGAACAAGCCGCAGGATTCCTTGTTCCCAGAATTCTTGTGGCCGTGATGAGATCCAGTCCTTCACAGCGTCCTTGAGTACGTCATCCGAGTTGAAGCGCTTCCCTTTCAGGTGTTTCTTCAGTGGACCAAACACATGGAAATCGAAGGCCGACATGTCCGGACTGTAGGACGGATGGCCCAATGTCTCCCACTTGAACTTGGCCAATTCCATGTGTGTGACTCTGGAGACGTGTGGACGCATGTTATCATTGAGCAGAACCACACCCTCCGTGAGCAGCCCGGTCTTTTGTTCTTGACGGATCTGCGTAGGCGTCGAAGTGTCTCACAGTACACATCAGAGTTAATGGTTTTTCTGTGTTCGAGGAATTCCACAAGTAGTGGACGTTGAACGTCAAAAAAGACGGTGAGCAACACCTTGCCTGCTGGCTTTGAACTTTTTAGGGGGAGGTGATGACGCATGCTTCCACTGCATGCTGTCCCGCTTTATCTCGTAGTGATGGCACCAGGTCTCATCACCTGTGACGATCCGCTAGATGAAAGCGGGGTCTTCCTGATACCGAAAGAGATGTTGCAGTGCTAGCCCCATACGCAGTTCCTTTTGCTGGTCGGTGAGCTGCTTCGGAACCCAAGCAGCACACACCTTCCGATATCGCAACCTGTCATGAACAATTGTCCACAAGGTTCCATAGCTGACATCCACCTTCACCGCCAACATTCGCAATGTGACACACCTATCACTTCTCACTAGGTCGTCCACCTTGTCGATAAGATGGCTCATGATGACAGTGTTTGCCTGGCCTGGTCTCGGGTCATCACCTACACTCTCACGGGCTGCACGAAAACGAGCACTCCATTTTCTGACAGACTTGTCACATTTCTCCCTGTAAACTGTCATCATCTGGTGATGAATAGCTGCCGGTTTCTCACCTTCCGCTGTCAGAAGTCGGATAACACCTCACTGCTCCTCAGTCGTCGAATTTTGCAACGCAAACGCCATCCTGTCCTTCATACTGACTGCCGCATTCATTTGGATGCCGCTTTTGATAAGAGGCTTCACTCTCTCCTGCGTATGCGGGCGCCCTGCGCATGCTCATATTCCAGTCAGAGACTCCAATCGCATCCCGAGATGTCTCGCTACGTTCTCCCATGGCGGAATATGCAAATATTTAACTGTTACGTTTTTACGTCATTCTGTACCTTTTCATTTGATCGCCCCTTGTATTTAACTACTTCTATTTTTTTTTAAAGTTATTTGTTGAGTAGTAATAATAGTAACACTACAATAATAGCAGTTTACAATAGGTAACACTACAATTTCATTAATATGTTTCTGTTTTTATTTTTCATTTAACTGCAGCTGAAGAAGGTAATAATGTTTGAATCACTGAAACTATTACTGCTAAAATAAAATCTGTATCAATCAACATCATGTTTTCTAACACTCAGTAATAAATAGTTGAAAATATTAGTCTGCTATGTCTATATACACATTTTATTTCATTATCAGCATACAAAGGTTCAAAACATAAACATCCTATTACCAGATTCCAAAGTTTAATGAAAAACTAAAAGCATAAGAAAATTGTGACTGGTGTCATGAGCAGCTCTGCCTATCAACAGCCTGGGACATCCTTCCCACCTTGGTCAACCTCAAGAAGTATGAGAAGCTGCAAATTTCACATTATTGGATTCAGATTTTGTTGGCAACATTGTCAGTTTCTGACCAGTTAGAAAATGGAGTCAAGGCTTCTTCAATCATCATTCTTTGTTCACATACTAATAGTCTGCAGTTCAGGGTGGTTTCTACCCCTACCTTTATCAATGGCTGAAATATTTAAGTTATTGTCAACAGAAGATTTAAATTGTTCTTGAAAACTTTGCAGCTTCGCTTGAACATTATTAGCAGCTACAGGTATGACATTCTGAGTAGCTTTGCATGCTTTAAAAAGTAGCGAGTTTGACACTGTCTGTATAGTCTTCACATTGTAAAACATCAGATTCATATTCAACATTGTACAATTAAATTATGAATACTATCATCCAATAATTTTATTTCATTCAAAAGTCGATCATAAAAAATATTTTAAATCATCATCAATTCCCATCTTTGGAACTATCATTATTACAGTCTGTCAACTACATAATAGAGCAAGTAATATTTGCTCTAACAGTCTTTTGTTTTCATTTAAGAAGCATTATATCATCTACAGCATCATCTTGGAATGTACATGTAAGAAAATAAAACTCTAAACAATATAATTAAAGCAAAATAAAACTACATTTGTCTCAAATTTGAAATAACAGGAGCATTTAATGCTCAAAATACTGCATTTATCGAGTTTCAGCACCAAAAAGTTGTGTTTATATATACGTTTTATTTCATCACGATGTACAAGCAGTTCAAAATGTAAACATCATTCTTACATAAACATCCTATTGCCAAATTCCAAAGTTCAATGAAGCTCCAGTGCTTGGGAAAATCATAACTGACATAACAAGCAGCACTGTCCGTTGAGACATCATCATAAGTAAAGAGCAGAATATAAAAATTTTAATGTTTAGTAAATCATAAATTTGTGTAGGAGTTAAGTGAGAACAAAGTTACCCTTATGACTGCCTATAGCTTAAAACTTAATATTCAGATCTTTAACTACTAAGAATAATTATGCAGCTTAAAACTTCACAATAATAACTGTGCTACTTGGACCTTGAATAAGTTATGATAACTCCAGTAATTATTTACTGTCCACACACCATCAAAAAGTTGCAAATTTGTTGCTAACCTTGCAGAGCATTCCAGAACTTGCTGGCAATTTATTTTTTGTGAAGCTAATACTCGAAAGAGAACAGGTATTTTCAAAATGGTTAACCACATTTAAGTAACTCATAATTAAGTAAGTACCAAAACACATTTAAGTAACTCGCTAATTTAAACACTTTTTTATTGCAATTAAATCATCACAATCATTAATTTCTCTCTGAAACTAAAAAAGATATTTCAAACTTTCTAATTTACCCTGTATTAATTTACATGAGTTTTAATTAAATGTAAACTACTACTAACAGATAATTACACAGTGTAAATGAAAGTTCGAACATGGTACTTGATTTTCCATTTATGTTTTAGTGTTTTAAAATTACCAAAAATTATATATAAAAGATTTGGTAATATAAATGGTATATAAATGAAACAGAAAATTTACCTCATCTTTCTTTTCTTTGAGTATTTTTTTCACACATTCTAAACAACTTTTATTCTCTTCTTCCTAAATAAACAAAAATTAGTTTAAATATTTCAAAATTACAAATCTAAAAAATTTTTGTGAAATTAATTTTATATTCCTTTCAGTTTAGCCCTACTTAAATAAGTATATTATTATATAAAATTTATGCAAAAAATTATATGATTGCATTCCTTCTTAAACAGGGTTCATAGCCACATTTTAGTTAAAAAAATAAGCACCTATAAGCACTTTTCAAGCACATTTTAAGGAAAAAATAAACACCTGTCTAATTACATTATACACAACTGCATAAACTTAAAGAAAAATAGACTTGTAATTTAAAAATATGAGCAATGCAATATTATTAAGAGAATGAGCATTACCTCAACCATGGAAATCAACTTTTTTTTTTTTTTTTTTTTTTTTTTAATTTTAAATGACAGTTCAATTTACAGAATTAGTTTACAATGAGAGGAAAAAAAAACTATGCAGAACTAAACTATATTACAAGATTTAATGATGATATTTCAGTTGAAAATAAGAAAATAAATAATAATAAGCCATATTAATTGTATTCGTTTGGCACCTAATAATAAATACAATTTATTTTCCACTCATATAATATTTAAATAATTTAACTTAAATCAAAATTCTGAACATTTTCTAAATTTTCATTGCATAACAGTTTTTCCTTAACATATATTCCAGCAAAGTCTAAGTAAAAAAGAGGCACATTTCTGAAATCAGAAGATGGGAAATTGCTTCATTCAGTCATCCTTTAACAGTAAAAGCTCAACTAACCCTGCATACTAGGAAATTCCCTGAATATTCCGGATAGTAACTGGAAAAAAACAAGGAGCAGGGAGATTGTAGCCGTTCTTTAGATTTCTCGGCTAAATACATTGAATTTTGACATTTCGATACGTGCATCATATAAACATAGACCAACGGAACTGAGAAATATTCTGCTTAGAAAGCACAGTAAAAGTCTTTTAAGTGTTCATAAACAAATCTCAGACTGAACATCAAAATTAATTATCTCTGCAAAATATCCGGCAAACGTTATTGCGCAATACATGCGGCGTAATTCTTCCCACATGTGATATTACGCAATCGTAATCAACAGCTGCCGGTATTCGGAGAATAAAGAACTAAATAAAGGAAAAGAAAGAGAATTAGATCTGGGGTGTTTTTCTTCTAATTTTCGTTAACAGACTGCCTTAAATTTCCGGAATAGAATCATTCTTTCACTTGTGTTGGGTAGACCGCAAAAACTTTTAGTCCTCTTCAATCCAGATTGGACAGTGACAAAAAAAAAAGTCCACTGCTTCAATATTAGAGATTTTGCGGAGAAGCTCCCAACCTCTGTACTGTATAATGTATTGCCAAAGAAAATGTACTTTCCTTTTATTTAAGCCATTCCAAATATTATTCCTTAGAAAGCTAATCTGTGTAAAAACACACCCATTTTTGGAAGTTTATCTATACTTCAGAAGTTATTGCAACTATATTATTATAAATATTAATACATATGCTCATAATATAAGCATAACGATCATAATAAACACGAATATGAACTGACCACGCGGAACAAGAATGCAAATTATTAAAATCTTGATAGAAATTCAAACGTGTGTAGCATTTGGGTGGGAGGAAAAGAATACCGAATGTACCAGAATTTTCTACCGTTTTCGCAATTCTTTGACCAATAGAACGACGTGCACCTGTCTGTACTCTGGCACACAACATAGGTTACGTTAATGCAGACAAAGGGGGAAAAGCTATTTCCGAGAGTATGATTCACCATCTGACGTTCCATATAAGGAAGAAAAGTTGTTTATTTAGTTTCGGCTTTGGTACCGTGGGGGGGGGATGCGCGTTCATTAAAAAAAGCACTAAAAGCAAAAAATAAGCACTCAAAACAAAATAATAAGGGTTTTAAAGAAAAAGTAAGCACCTATAAGGGCCTTTATATTTTATTTTCAAATATAAGGACTTATAAGCACTTGTAAGGACTGCTACCAACCCTGTTAAAATAAAAGAACTGAGGAAAAATGCAATAATCATAGCATATGAAAGCAAATATCAGTTAACAAAAATAATATCCATTCATAACAAAAATATGATGAATTTTTTTAAAATTAAAATCATAAAACACATACTTATACTAACAGAAAAAAATATTTTCTAAAAAATATATCAGCTTCCAGCAAAAGTACTGCTTATTATGAAAATAAGTAAAAAATTAATTTTCTTTAATTTTTCACTCCAGAATAAACTTCTCATGCGTATATTGCACATCAATGATCATAAAAACTATTTGATTCAATTTTTAAACTAAATGCAAATTTTCATTCCAAAAATGCTTTTGTTACAAAAATTAAGAAATGGATAAATAAAAAAATATTAATCTATTAAATATAGTAATAAATTAAAACAGAAATACAGTAGAATCCCAATTAAACAAGCTCAAATTAAATTATCTGACATTGCACAAAAAAAATAGTGTTATTATTATTTAACTGTTTGAACTTCATAAAACACATTATTTACTATCAAGCATCATATATTTTTTTTATTGTAAAATTCTTTAACTATGCATCTGCATGTCCCAGTGGGACTTACCTTTATGAGGAAATCGTTTTATTATATATTTTAAAGAAAAACATATATAGAGAGAGTATATATTGATTTCAGTGTGCACTAATATGTCGGCACCTATATCACAGACATGTTTTTTATTATTATTATTTTGCTCATGGGATATATTTTAATAACTAGTTTTTGCTAAACATGTTATCCCTTTTCACTGGATTACTAATTAGTTTTATTCATGTTCAATAATTTGGATACTGCTGTAGTCTGAGTAAGATATGTTTAACTCACTGTACAAGTCTTTTCATCTTTCTTCTGTACATTGATAAACATTTCAATCAGACCGGGCTGTTGAGCAACACAAACTGTAAGAAATTCTAAAATAGATACTTTTAGTCGGATGTCTTCATACAGTGATCTGAGACGAGCAAGGAAGTGATCTCTTATAGCTTCTGCTTCAGAACCAAAGCAAGCCAGCAGAGACATAGGAAACTCCTATATACAAAATAATTTATGCAATGAAAAATAAGACGAAAATACATACATCATTTTTATTGAATGTACTGTTAAATACAAATAGTGTCATGCAGAAATAATTTAAACCTTGCATTCCAATATAAACTATAACTTTTAACTATATAGTGTATAAAGCTATAAATAGCCATAACTTTTAACTATATAGTGTATTGCAATTTGAATTGATTTTCAAATTAAATGCAAATTTTAATTCTAAAAATCGCTTTTATAATTGATGAAATATAGTGAATGTGATTGCATTTTTACTGAAATATGTTGCTTAGTGATTTTCCATAGTAGGATCTTAACTATGTTGTAATTTATAAATAATAAGTAAATACAAAACAAGATTGGGGAGGGGAGAAGGAGGTTTTTTTTTTTTTTTTAAGTTTACAAGCATCAAGCTTATACTGGAGATCTATTTCAAAGGATCAGGTATAATCTGGAAATATAGTACGAGGGCTATCCAGAAAGTAGATTACGTTTTGGAATAAAAAAATAAAGTATAGGAAACAAATTTTATTATATACAGATGAAAAGCCACACTCAAATACTACTTTTCTACATAGTCACCATACAAATTAAGGCATTTATCGTAGCGATGTACGAGCTTGGAAATTCCTTCGTCGAAAAAAATTCGGCCGCCTGCGCCTTCAACCACTCGTTACCTCTCTTGCCTTCCATCTTGCACAAACTTGTGGTAACCAGCTTTTCGCTGATGATTTCGTGCAACAAACTTCGCGAAATTTGTGGAAAACTCAAAGAAAGTTCCGTTATTGTGAAATTTCGATTTTCACGGACTTTAGCATCGACTTTTTCGAGAAGTTCGGCGGTCACTATGCTGGGTCTCCCACTTCGATCTTCGTCGTGAACATTGGTTCGGCTATTTTGAAATCTTATGACCCACTCCACCTTCAGTGATAATGTTGTCCCCATACACTTCACGAAGCTGCCGATAGATTTCTATCGGTTTACAGTTTTTTGCAGTCAGAAACCTTATTACTGAGCGCACCTCGCAGGATTTTCAATTAACGCAGACATTTCAAACCGTCACAGTATCTGAACGGAGCACAGCACGAACCTCTCACTAGCACGGCTACATGCAGACTGAGCTGCGCAACGCTCTGACCCCAAGATGGCCGCGCTAGCCCCGCCCCTAGCGGACACAGACGGAAACGTAATCTACTTCCTGGATGGCCCTCGTATAAAAATATTGCAGTTTTTTAATGGCCAAAAAAGACTGACTGGATCCAAAGCTTCAATTTAGCTGAAATCCAGTTGACCATCTGTAGGTAACTATATATGTATTAAAGAATACTCCGGCAGTTTATAATAGTAGTAGTAATAATAAAAATAATAATCTAAACATAGTTTTGCAGTAGCAGATATCTTGATTTAAAAATAGTAAGATATATAGCTCTGCTATATATGATATGCTTTATTTTTGTCTATCTAAAACAAATTTTTTCCTGGCGAAATTAGTGTGTATTACTTTTTTGTTCTCCCCTATATCTTTTTATCATACCAAATAATGAATCATACTTTTACAATGAAAAGCATGTTCAATACAGGCATATTATTTGTTACTGTACCTTCTTACAAATTGAAGATTTATCTTAACTCCGTTCTAGACTAAAACTGTGTCACTTTGCTTTTTTTTTAGCTACATCTTGAGAATTTTATCATTACTCTTAAATAAAAAATTTGCCAATAATTATCCACAGTATAATGATGCATTTTCCCGCATTACTATTCCACTGATTATTTAAATGTTTAGGTGACAATAATTTAATTTTGTGTATTGTTAAAAATGTTAATCTCATGATTTTCTTCAAATATTCCAATATATTCTCTAAATGTTCCACAACTCATGAATAATTTTGAAAATATTTTTAGCATTATTACAAGATTACATTGAAATAAAACTAATTATTTTTAGTAGCCTCTAAATGTGTAAGTGAAAATAAGAATTGCAAGTTTTTTGTTTAAATCAAACTAGAAATGAGAAAAAAGGAATTTGAAAAGTAAATAATCTTGCAATAATAAATAGCTTAACTATACATGCACTACAAAAGTTCTTGAAGAAAACTGAAAGTACTACTCTATTCAATACATGAATGGTATAAAAGGGAAACAAGATTAGAAACAATAATTTGTTTTTAATATATATATATATATATAATTACTGTGAAAGATCAAGATTTGGAGAATGTCAACATTCACACAGTTGTTTGGTGCATGTCCAAAATATTTGCCAAATACGCTTATTTCTGACTTAATCGGCAAATGTCGACATTCATCATGCACTAATGGTGAATGCTGAATACATCAGAGATTTGCATTTTGTTCTTTGTATTTCAGGCGCCATAAAACTTCAAGGGTAACGTAACGTTTTTCCTGTCTTGTTGAGAGGAGTAACCAATCCCTGGTGAGAAGAGTTGTTTTCTCTGTGTGACATGTAGCTTTTGATTCTAACGCGAGAAGGGCTACTTGATATTACTTGACTTCTTAATAATGACAGCAGTTGTGCTTGGATAAATGTTAAACATTTCGTTTTAAATTTAGCCAATAAAGAACTTTTTTTTTTTACTTTTGAATTTATACTGTATATGTCAAAATATGAAAAAAGCTTAAGTAACATCACATGTAAATAACTTTTGAACTTAATCAGTACATTCTAAATGAGAAAGGAAAATAATACCAAAAAAAAAACTTAATTATGTGATTGAAATCTTATTTATTACAACAACTTAAACTTTTATGACATTTTGAATTGCACAAGGGTCCTTTGCTTTTACAACTGCATTTAATTGTGGAACACTTCCTTTTGCAGTGACAGCTTGTATAGCCTTGCCCTCCACTTCTTGAATTAGCTGCAGCTGCTTTTCTCAGAGACACTTCTTGAGAAGAAATCTCATCTATGGAAAGTAACTTTTCTTTAAAAATTATGAACTGATTATGAGTATAAAGCAGCTTGAAAGTGCCATTTTTATTTGCTAGTTTATAAAAGTCGGAGTCTTCTAGTCTAACAACAACTGCCAACACATTTTGGCCGTCTGTACGACCACGAACGACATCAGGGACTTGTATTAGTATGGTATCACCAATTTGAGCAGGAAACATTTTTTTTTTTTTTTTTTTTTTTTTTTGGTTTGTAACATTTTCATTGCTTGCAGTAGAAGATTCTCTTTCGTGGCTGATCTTTTCACAGAAATTAATTTGTGTAGTTCAGTCCAGGCTTGATACGAAGATGTGGTAGGTTGCAGGTTCTCTTCAATATTTTTCTTTGGAATATGATTTTCGGTATGGCAACAATTTTCTTCAAAAGTATTAACAGTTTCTTCAATCTGTTCTTCGGTTTCAAAAGTATTAGAAATTTCTTAAGAGTTGTTCTTCGGTTTCATTATTTGTGATTTGTTCACCAGGCAAAAAAGACGATGCTATGCCTCTTCTTGGTTTAAAGCCAAACATAGCTTCATAAGGAGTAACAAGGAGGTGAGGAGAGATGTGTTTGAAAAATAAAAACAATTGTCTTCTCGTTAACTTGCAATTAATGCATTTAACTTTTCAAAGAAAAGTTCATGATTCACTGCAGTATCCATTCAACATAAATTAGGGTAACGGATAAAAAAAAAACAAAATTTAAGAAAAAGTTGCGTATACCATCCGACTTAGCATAAGACTGACAAACAGTGTTCCACAGTATAAAAAATACATGCTACATAACTTCAATCGCAGCAAAGCAAAGGATTTGGCGACAGACAGTCGCCCCTCTGTTGAACTCGACTTCTCTTTTCGACCTCCACCACAGTATATCTGTGATTGTCGACATACACTGCTGGTGGTTCGAATGTACAAGAATATAACCAAATATTCGGTCTTTCACCGACATATTTGGTACATGTTGACATTCACCGGTGAATGTCGACATTCTCCAGTTTCGGTCTTTCACAGTAACACACACACACACACATATATATATACATAGTATATTGTTATTTTAGATTTAATGCCAATGTATATATTGTTGCATGCATATGGGTTTGTATTAGGTTGAATGCACAAAGAACCAATGATAGCTTGATAAAATTTATTTTACCAAAAGAAACATTTTACAGTTCTGGAACTTTCAACAAGAATACTCTTATACAGGGTTGCCACTCAAATAGGAGAATGAAATTCCCTGACTTTTCCAGGTTTTCCAGGTGTGTTTCAAGAAAATTCCAGTCTATCCGCGTAATGTACATTGGCTGTACTAAGAGGTAAATTAATTATGGTATTACTTGTACTGTGTAGCAAATTCACTTAATTATTTAATAAATCCCAGAGGACATTTATTCTTAATTATTCTTGGTATACTTTGTTTGATAATTTTGTTTAGTTTTCCACTTAAGAAACTTAATAAAATTTAAGATATATACATTGGATAACAAATGTATGTTTTATTTAATTATTACTCATGATCATCACCAGTTCAACACGAGGCTAATCCGGTCCTTATAATCACAACGCAATGCTAAATAGTTAGGTTAGATTTTAGGTAAATTTAATTTGCGTGAGGTATGTTCTTAAAAGGCACCTTAACACTTGAAAACACAAATATAATTATAATAGTTTGTTGTTTTCTCCACTGAGATAGAGATTAGAATCTGCCAAATCTGGAATAAAATAAGGCTTTTTTTTGCAGACATTCTGCAGCTAAACGAAAGAAAGAAATCTATTTTAATAAATTGAGGTATTTTATATTTATTTTGCAGCATACATAAGGAAAAAATATGTGCATTAAATTTCGTGACGGTATGTCATCATACTGCTATAATTAATTTTAGGATTATGCCAGAGAAAATTTCCTGAAATTTGGAAATATTATTTACTAATAATAAATAAATTTAGAGGGGAAGAAGCAACATTAAATTATATGAATAACATAAAAATAATTACTTAAAAATTGAATTAGAATAATCAACGATATTTTAGCGAATATAGTTATATTACATGGCTAGCCTAGATGACTGATTACTATTTTTTTATTTTACTGAAAAACGGCAAGGTATTTATTAAAAGAAAAAAAAAAAAAAAAGGTTTTTAAAAAGATTTTGCGGTAAAATTCTAGTATACGGTAAGGCTTTGGCACGATTTTGAAAATTGTCGCCAAGACCAAATGACCCGTTTACTGCGCATCAAGATGTCGCCAAATCCCATTATTATTCAACCAAAGAACGTCTATGTAAAGAAGAAAAGGTTCCATACCAGTAGTAAAATGCTATTACGCCGCTAGAATGCGGAGGGAAAATTTGCCAAGGGATTTGGCGACGGAACCTAGCGGCCAGAATTTCCCTCTCCGCGATGTGTACAGGAAATTGAGAAACACGTGTTAAGAAGAAGAAACGCTTTTTGACACAAAAGAAAACTACGAAAATCTGTTTTTAAATTATTGCGAAAAATCCAAGAAGAAACGTTTTATCAAAGGACGTTTCTTCTTTGGATTTTTCGCAATAATTTTAAAAACGGATTTTCGTAGTTTTTTTTTTGTTTTTTTTCCCTGAAAATAACTAATCCATGAATTAATTTACTTGCGCCAAAAAAATATTTCTTTTCCTTTAGAGTTTAACCACTTGCGCTAAGACTAAACTTCACGGTTGCGGTGCCGTGCGCTACAATATAACAAGCGGTTTAAAGTGTCTCATTACGTCGCTCCGCATCTGCGAGTGCAATCCAGAGCTGTAACTCGAGGAGAAATAAACAATCTCGTTGTTAGGCGACGTGTGCACCACGTTATTTTCATTTTTGCGATAAATGCTTATCGACGTGTTCACGTCGCTCGCGGTTTGAGACAAAAGCATCTTGACGTGCGTGGCACGTCTTTTTAGCGCAAGTGGTTAAAGAAATTTTAAACGATATTCATTTTATGAACTCTTGATAACGTGACCTTCGAACTTCGACACCGGTTTCGAGCTTTGGCAACAGATATATCAGACATGCACAGCTGTTTTCCCTCTATGATGGAACGGAGCCACAGCCACGTCTGTTGCAGAGAGGTTTTCCTTCTTTACAATACATATTCTTGATTCTAACCTCGATGGTACCGTATACTAGGATTAAACCCATTTTGTTTTATATGAGAACAGGTACTTTCTTTAGTTCATGCACTGCACATGCGATTCTCGAGAATATTGGAAACCAAAGTTGCTTTGCCTTTCTAAAAGCCAATCAAATTGGAGCTGCGAAAATTGGCTCTATGCCAGCTACCCGAATGACACTCACGTGATACATAATTCGCCAAAAAAGTTACCTCTTCCGACGTCGGCGCAAAAATCGCTTTTTTTGGCTGGATCGTTGTATGAACTTCTGTGACTTTTACAGATTTTGACAAAAATACTTAAATTCCCTGACTTTTCCCTGAATATTTTGGTCAATTTTCGAATTCCCTGACTTTTCCCGGTTCTCCAGGTTTTCCAGGTAGCGTGGCAACCCTGCTTATAGCTCTTCTAAGTATCACAGAATACAATCAGTAGTTACACTTCAAATGACTGAAAACAAACACACTGCAATGCAAAGTACATCTAAAAGACGAAGCTCGCAATACTCTTAATACTCTGAAGTCAATTTTGAATGAAAAACTGAGAGCTGATGTTCTCTCTGATTTTATACAGCTTTTACCTGGCCGCTGAAAACTTTCTAGTACCTTTAACTTCTTGAAATTACTGGAAGACATATATTGTTAAAGTTACTTATAAGAGCCGCATATGGTTGCAGTTACATATATATAGAGATCAATAACAGTTATCCAAATATGATACCAATTACAGTTATACAAGGACTGAACTCAGATGTTGCCAAATGATTACTAAGCTTGTAGACTTTTGGTGATTTCTTGCTAAATTTGGTGACAAAAAATCAGTCACCAAAATTATCACCAGCTTGGCAATATCTCCCCAATTTAGTGAGATAGCCATTTACCTCACTGTTAAATAGACTTGCCTCTGTAATCTTATTTTTCTGGGACAGCTTCGGTCTCTTTGGACTTTTCATGTTACATTACAATTTCACATGTAATTTCACTAAAATTATTTACATATATACAAAATTCTCAACAATATTATAGGCACATTAGTTTTCAGTCTTTCTGTCCCATGCATTCCTTTTACCCCCTCCCTTTCCAAAACTAAAAAAATACATATAAATTTATTTTAGATAATTTTTAAAGGCACAACAAGAAGCAGGTGGAGTCAAGCTAATCACATTTTCCCCTGAAACCATGAAATTCTCCTCTTGTGAGATCCCCTACTATACCATTTCTAATGTCAAAATACCTTCTATTAAAAAATTTTGACTTATTGTAGTGACCTCAAACTGAATTTGCAATATTTCTAAGCTACATTTGTGAAAAACCAATGTTATTCACAGCAAGATGATAAAACTATAACAACTCACCTTTGCAAATCTCTTCAATAACTGAACAGCTAAAGTGGCTAAGCGAGGGTTATATCGTTGAAATGCATAGTGTGCTACCATTAGTACAACTTGGGGCTGAGTTACATGTCCCGGGGTTGAAAACAAAACAGCTTCGAGAGGAGTTGTTTCCCTTTTTGAGCTCATTAATGTCACATTATTACGCAGCAATAAAAGGCGGTTTAAAACAGATAAAGATAAACGGATCATAGATGTGACCTGCTCGCCTAAATCACTGAAAAAAAAAAAAAAAAAAAATAACCAAATGCATTAAAAACAAATAATTTAGTTATAAAAATATCATTAGTGTCACATACCAAAAATAAAAGGATCACTGCCACATGTTTCCAAATTCCATGAATAAATATTTTTGCTACAAAAGTATAATTAGCTCGTGTATCATACATTAAGAAAAAAATTATTATTATCTTATTAAACACACACATACTTGTCAAATTGATCAAACTTGGACACAATTCCAAATGCATGACTCTGTCTAATGTCAAGTTTTTAAAACAAAGTTTTATATATGTCAAGTTTTTATATATTTTACATATGACAGATCCTAAAAAATTTACAAAAAAAAAAAATCTGAAGTTTTTTTAAAAAAAGAAAAATATCAAATGAGACTTAAAAAATTCAAATAAAACAGATTTTTGGAAAAGAATCAGGGATACAATCAGAGTCCCCAAAACCGGTTTATAAATCCATTAGATTTTAGCAGTATTTATACTGTATTTCTATTATGATCCCCCTGATAGGAAGGGCATCTTTTTCTGTTTTTTTAATATAAAATAGAGTGATTTTTTTCACACCTTATAAAATCAAAATGAGATTAAAAAAATAAAAACATTATATATTTTATAAAGGATTCAGAAGGGTAGACATTTATCCTTTGAAAACGTATAAATTATTCCATTGTTACATAATCAAAGTATTTGTCTTTTTTTAAATCTCTGAAAATAAATAAACCATCATTTTACCTTCCATTTTCGATATCATTAACAGAAATCTTTCCTAATATAATTTTGTAAGAAAATGTCCATCTCCTATACCATTAACATCTACCGTAATTTCCGGAAGAAACGCCGCGGCGTTTACGTGTTTAAAACTTAAATTTTCAGCGGGTGCGGCGTTTAGGTGCACTAAAAATAAAATATTTCCTATGATGGTCATTGTACATAGTTTGGATGGCCTTGTCATTGTGCATAGACTGGTGCTGTTCCCACACAAAAGACCACTCAGTTGCTTTTTACGGACGTTATTTTGTTTACATTCTTTCCCTTGAACAGACCTACATACCTTACTCACCTTAAACGAGATCTCAGAACAATAACATTCTTCTCCCTTTCAAATCAACATTCTCATCAGTTTGAATAGTCTCTCTCCTCTGCCATTCGATGAATCTTCCAGGACCCATCCTCTCCCCACCCCTGCCTTTTCTGCAATTTTTTTCAAAGGCGGACACGACTCCACCTGCCTCGCAATAACGAACTCTGACGTATTTCCCCTTCAGCATGAATGGATTTTTCTTGGCATTCTGCCAGATACAGATCCCATCAGTTTGGGTACAAGTACTTGTTGGATAGTTTTTAAGTAAGAAGGGAGCGGAAAATTTTTGAAAATGTCCCTAAATGGCACAGAAGCTATACTGCTGGTTTTAAGCTTAATGTAATTTCACGTGCTGAACAAATTGGAAATCGAGCAGCAGCTCGAGAGTTTGAAGTGGACGACAGATGTATTTGATGTTGGAGAACTGAAAAAGAACTTCTTAAAAATATGCCAAAACAGAAACGAGCCAAAAGAAGTGGTACTGTAAGGTGGCCAAATCTAGAAGACGACCTTGCGAACTGGATAAAGGAGTAATGAGGAAAGGGAATGGCAATTTCGACTGTAAAAATTCGCTTACAAGCAAAATTTATAGCAAAACGAACGAACATAAATGATTTCAAAGGAGGTGTAGCAGATTTATGAAAAGAAAAAATATTTCTGTGCGTACTAAAACAACAGTCGGGTAACAATTACCAATGGACCGGCAGGATAAAAAGTCATCTTTTCTAAAATATGTGACAGCTATTATTAACAAAAAAAAAAAGAAAAAGAAAAAAGAAAAGAAAAAAAAATTCTTCGGTCACAGATAATAAATATGGATGAAACACCGTTAGCTTTCAACTCTCCTGCAAACAGAACTGTTGATGAAACTGCTGCAAAAACTGTATCTGTGTTTACAACGGGGCATGAAAGAACGTCATTTACATGTGTGTTAGCTTGTGCCGCAAACGGTGACAAGCTAAAGCTGATGATCAATTTTAAACGAAAGACTATTCCGAAGGGAGATTTTCTTAATGACGTAATTATTTGTGCAAACAAGAATGGCTAGATGTGTGAAACAATCATGCATGAGTGGCTACAAAAAGTTTGGCAGTGTCGTATGGGATCTTTTTTCCAACCAAAGGGGTTATTGATAATGGATTCCATGCATGCTCATTTCTTTGAGTCAGTGAAAACCAGATGTCAAAAATTGTCTACGACCGAAGCAATAATTCCTGGTGGTTTGACAAAAATCTTACAACCGTTAGATTTGTCAGGTAATAAATCCTTCAAAGCTGAAGTCCGAAAGCGGTGGGAGTGTTGGATGAGTGAAGGATTGCATACATGAACCAAAAGCGGTAAAATGCGTAGAGCATCTTATGAAGAAATTGCAAAGTGGGCAGGAAGTGTGTGGAAAACAGTAAAAACATCGTCAATAATGGCAGGGTTCAAAGAAGCTGAAATTATATCCTTAGATAAAGAGACTGTAAACCAAGAGGATGAATGTGACGATCTGGAAGACTAAGATCAGGCGCACGACGTATGAGCGGGTGCATTGTCGTGGTGGAGAATCCAATGGCCCTTAATCGGCAGGCAGATGGGGCGGAGCACTCCAGCATAAAAGTCGCCAGTGACAGTCTGTCCACGAGCAACAATCTCCTTGTCAAAAACTCCCTTACCATTAAAAAAAAAAAAAAAAAAAATCAATCAGCATGCCCTTCACACGCGACTTGCTCAAGCGAGCTTTCTTGAGCTTCAGCGAGAAAGCAGTGTGCCATTCTGAGCTTTGACGCTTCAACTCAGGATCATACTTGTAGACCCAGGTCTCATCACCAGTAACCACTTTCTCCAAAAGGTTCGGATCAACATTCAACCATTGGAGCATTTGCTGGCAAACAGTCATGCGGCATTTCTTCTGATCCACCGACAAATTCTCCTATAATTTCTTTTAATGAAACTATCTGTTACTTGTATATATGAATCTGGATTACACCAATTTAATTTATCTTCACATTTATTTTAAAAATTTTCACTTTTAATTTTGATGTTCTTCCCAATATATTTAATCTTTCATTTATTCAATAGTATTTTCTGATAATTTCTGATATCTAGAAACTAATTTCTTATTTAATTTTTTTTTTAATTTTGCAAATCGAATTTATCATTTCAAATTTGATATTCATAAATTTTATCCCAATAATTTTTTATGTTATCTAATATGAATTTTTCGAATAATTTTTTATATCTAGATACAATAGTTCAATTAGATTCTCATGCATAATCATAAATGGTTTGGATAATTTTTGATAAGCTGAAATATTATCCCAACAACTCTATCTTTATACTCACAGATGATAGATTCAGATAAATTTTTATATCTAGAAATCAAATCCCAGTGGACTTCATTTTCAAAATTTCTATTTCAATTTTCGCTTAAAACACTGTTTTTGGAAACCTTACCCTAATTAATATCTAGTTACTTAGGGTAAAAATTCTTTGACTTTAAAGATAATTTTTGAAAGTTGAATGACTTCTGTTTAAAGCTTAAAAAAGTTTCCAATCTATCATTTCAATTTTTAAATAAGGTACAATAATAATTACCTTCTTTGTTAGAACTTTTAATTTAAACTCATCACCTTTATTAAGATACATAAAGAATATTTACAATGGAACCTCAAGATACGAGTTTAATTCGTTCCAGCATTGAGTTCGTATAGCGAATTTCTCGTATATAGAAACAAACTTTCCCACTGAAAATAATGGAAATCCAGTTAATCCATTCCGCACCTCCAAAAATCTCATTACCATCTCATCTTCAGTCAATGTATCTTGTGTTTTTCGGAGAAGGTCCAAGTACAGATTCTTAGCCTCGGTGCAAATGATAGCTTCCGACACCGAATCGCTTTTAGCTGCTTTTCATTAATCCACACCAACAACAGCTTCTTAGCATCTTCTAGGAGTTTTGGATGCTGCTTGGAAATAACGGTAACTCCTTTGGCCACATCAAGTTTCTTAAATTCTTCCTTCTTCTTCAGAATAGTCCATAATAATCGATGTCGAATGGCCGTAAATGTTCGCCAATTCCGTCAGTCTTACACCATGCTTATGTATATCTATGATTTCTTTCTTAATTTCAAAAGCCATAGCTTTCTTCTTTTTATTTGCAACACTACCTCAGGTCACAGCTAAAGAAAGAGAAGGGCTGGGTCATCCCTTTGAGAAGAACGACGCCAACACGAACCCTCTTGGGGAGTATACTGGATGTTATGTGACGTCACTGGGTTCGTCCCCTTGCGAACTGACTAGAGCTTCAGTACGAAAGATTGAAGCTTTAGTTCGTAGTTTCAGAAAAAGTGTGGTTATATATATATATGTGTGTATGTATATAAACTTAAAAATTATAACTGATGATATTTCTAAATGGATTTTGTTAGTGTGTAATGAGAAGTAGAAAGAAATTTAGGAAGTGCTTGTAATGAGAAATCATTGAAAAAATGGTATCATGTGCCGTTGCTACCAGTAGTAATACGTATCATAATACGAAAGAAATTCACGTCATATTTCACCAATTTCTATGCATAAACATTCAGTCAACATATGGTTACATAGGTGTCGAAGAGCGGATATTGTCAACACAAAGAATGCTCGAATATGTAGTAATCACTTGACTGAATCTGATTATGAAGATGATATAAAAAATAGGTTGTTAGGATTATTGACAAAAAAGGTACCGAAAACAACTGCTATTCCAACTTAAGTATTCCTGACTTTGTTATTTATCAGAATATACCAAGGCAGCAAAGGCAACAAAAAAGAAAAAAATTACAAACTGCATTTGAAAGATTCAGAATTTAAGCCCTAAAAAGGCATGTCTGGAATTTCAAAATGATAAGAATAATAGCTACGAGGAGTTCACTGAAAATAATATATAAGTCAGCAATGTTGTAATTGTTTCAACCTCCAAAAAATTGTGAATGATTTAATCACAAAATTATCAGATCTTGAGAATAAGGTTTCTGTTTTATAGACTGAAAGAAAGCAGCATTTAAAACTATCTCCCAGCAAAGAAAAAGATTTAAAAAGAATAAAAAACTAATATTAGAAAAAGTTCAGAAACTGAGGAAAGAAATTTAAAAAAATCAAAAACTAAGAAACATGAAACATATATTCAAAACATATTTGACATAAACATCAAGACTGACTCAAGATGTATTAAAAAGTTAGCCAGATTCGGGGTCTAGGGTGTTTTAATGACCTTCTGCTGCCATCAGATGTAATAATTCGCTTGAAAAGGTTGCTATTGGCAAACATATAGCCTAAATTGTCTCTAACGATAAATGCTAATGACAGTGATGATGTGAAGAGGTTGAAGTATACTTGAAAAAAGTGCTGTTAGAAACAGCTTTTCCTTCAGATTTTTCAGTCTTCCTCATACGAAGATGATTCAATTAATTACGAAGACATCTATGATGAATGTACGTCACTTCCTTGAGAAACCAAAATTTATGATTCAATGAAATATATATTGGCATATGAACAAAACTCGCTCGCTTCTGTGGCAGATTATATTGCATATTGTGTGAAAGGTAAAGATCCTACTTTGGGTGAAAATCAAAAAAAGTCTTAGATATTCTTAACAACTCAATCTGGATATTTTTATTATCTAAAGGAGAGACTAACTGTCCCAACATCAGTTTCGATTGAAATGATAATGAAAACGGAAAATGTTTTGTTCTTTTTGAAAAGGTAGGGATATAATTCATAATCTTATTTTTGCACTTGAGAAACGTTTTCCCTCCGTGAATAAGAGTGCAATTTGTTTATTTTGTTGTTTACGAACATTTATAAGGGTTTGGCACTTGAATAGGAATGCAATCCTTGTATCAGCAAGAAAAGCTGACCAGAAAGCAAATAAATGATGAAAAGTAACAGTCATATCGTGTCAATTCGTGCAGGGGATTATCGAACCAAACTATATAGGGAAAAAAATCATGCAAGTTGATTCATATTATTCCTACCAAAAATAACATTTTGAATCATTACTTGGGTTATTATTCACTTAATTTGCAGCATAATTCATGCACTTTTCAGATAATTATTTGGACTACTACATAAAATATTATATATTATTATATACTAATTTAGACTACTAAATTTTACTATATAAAATAAACCATGAAATTCTGCATAAAGATAAATTAGTATCAGAGCATATACTTTTAAAATGCAAGAATACATGTTATTATTCCAAAATAAATAAATACCATTTTAAAATATTTTCAGTATTTTTTGAGTAATTGACATTAAATAATAATGCTGATGATTCACAATAATACTTTCATGATAGTCATTGCAAACGTTTACAAAATTCTACTACTCATTATCAACGCTAATTGAAAAGCAAAAAATGAAAGAGGTGAAATTGGCTTCGTTTTAATGTGTTATGAAATCTATTATTAACATTAATTAATTTTTAATCAGATAGTAGAGCAAAGCCTTTAGCATGTATTCTCCAAATGTACTTGCGTATTTTTATTTAATATTTCTATAATGCAAATTACTTTGTGACTAAATGATATTTTAGTGCAAAAAAAATTCTCCGTAAATGTAAATATTTACCTATGTTATCGACAGGTTACTATTTACATATATTTAAAAAGATGATTATGAAAAATATTTACTACATTTAGCAGGACTTAGAAGAGAAGGGCTAGCTCATAGAGCTTTTCCCACTGAAGCAGAAAGTTTGAAGTGATGACGTAGTCATGATGACACTGAATGCGGAGATGCAATTCACAGCTTAGAAATTAGCATTTTTTAACAAGTATTTAAAATGAGCTGTGTGTAAAAGAACTCAATCTAAAAATAATAGATAAAATGCACTACTCTTTTAACATAAAGTTCCGTAGGTTTTTGTTTATTTATTTATTTATTTTTTATTTGCAGGTTTTTTTTTTATTTAACGCACATTTATTTATAATCATTTCTTTATCTGCATGCTAACTGTGAGAATTTTTATACTGCTTCTAAGATAACTATAATAGCAGCTATTTAAATTCACTCAAAAAAACTTTACATTGACATAGTTTCAAACATATATGACATATATGGCAAAATTTCTGCTAATCCATATTGCCTAATTGTAAATTTTACATTTTTTACAACATTATGTTGTCTAATTGTAAATTTTACATCAGCATATTTCTCTTCCGATTCAATATAACAACAGATATTTTTTAAATAATTTTGTAATTTATACTTACATCTATATTACAATTAAAAAAATTGGCAAAATAGCTTTACTTACAGTACCAAAAGAGTTATTTAATTTTTCAAAAATGTGAGTAAAGGAGGCAGGTCTTTTTATGCCAATTTTGATGTTTTATACTATTATATTTTATCTAGAATGCTAATCTAGCACAAAATTGAATCAATAATTACTTACAAAGGATAACAATAAGAATAACTTAAACTAGTTAACAAAATTAGTTTGTTAAGTATTTGATAAAGTTTAGTTTGTTAAGTATTTGTTAAAGTTATTCATGTTTGCACTATTTTGGTACTATTCATAACATCGAACAGAGAATGATCAATTAACTCATAAAAGTCAGATACTTTTGATTTCTTGTGAGGATGGAGTATACCTTTTGCGGTAGTTTTAGAAAAAATGCTTTCTCTGGAGCGACGTTTTTTCTTTCGTTTCCCTTGACCATTAAATAATTCGGATTTTAGTTTGTGATACAATTATGATTTCCTTCTCAATCTCTATTTAAAACCTCTTTAATAATATAAAAATTTGAAACAGATCCATCTTCTAAAACAAATCATTTATCTAAAACATGGTTTCTCAGTAATTTGAGACAGAGCACGAAACAAGACCTCTGATTAAAACAAACTGCGCGT